AGTGGCGTTAGACATTAGGGAAGTGCAGCCCCACCCATTAGAGTGGCTGTGGCCACACGAGAATAATGGTGCTGGAGAGGAATAGCCATTGCTTCTGGGAATGGAGCGAAGCAGTTCATTCCTGGAGAAGGAATCCCTACAGGCCTCAGCAATTCCACTTCTAGGTACTTAGCCAGGGGAACTGAAAACACGTCTGCACGAAAACTGGTGTACACATATTCATGGAACAGTGTTCATGACAGCCAGAAGATGGGAACAAGCCAAACGCCCGTCAGCAAGTGGATCCATAAAAGTGGTCATAGCATCCAGGTGACAGAATATTACTCAGCCATAAGAACGAATGAAGTACCTACAGCATGGATGAGCTTGAAAACATGTCAGATGAAGGACGCCAGGCACCAGGCCCACACTGATTCCATATCGCTGTGTTCTTTACAGGCAACTCCGAAGAGCCAAAGTAGGTTACTGGTTGCTGGGGGAGGGGGAGGGCTGACTTCATGGGTGTAGCGTGAAGGTGGCACTTGCACGCGCGCGCACACACACACACACACACACACACACACGAGTGAGTATACCAAACATCATTGAGCTGTAAATCACTGGGCTGTGAATTTTATGGTATATGAATTGCATCTTAAAAAAAAAAATGCCTAGAAGGGGTCTGGCAGGTGGTGTGGTTAAGGCGCTAGACTCCCACGTGGCTGACCATAGTTTGAATCCTGGACCTGGCAGCCTGCTTTCTCCTTTCCTTTTCTGTCTCTCTCTGGTCAAATTTTTTAAAATAATAATAGTAACTATTAACTAAAAGATAAATAATTGTTTTTTAAAAATTGCCTAGAGGGAGAACCGAAGGAGGAATGGGAGTGGAGGGCTCGCCCTCTGCCCAGGGTCTTAGAATCACTTCTTTGAGTCTAAATTCTGCCTTTGGACTGAGGCTGCACAGTAAGGGGGGCTGGGGGGCACGTGGCCTGTAGGCATGGCATGGAGGGCCCCAGAGGTGGGTGGGGATGGACTGCAATGGAACTGGAGCTGGACAGGCTGGGGCTGCTCTGCTCTCTGCTCCCCATTCGCCACTCCCTGGGTGGGGAAGGAAAGCCAGAGGGAGGCTCCTGGCACCTGGGGTACAGGAATCTCAGGCATGCAGCCTTGAGCTCCTGAGGAGAGGAGTGGGAGGCTGGGTGGGCCCAAACAGCATGGCCCTCAGCCCTGGAGGTGGGGTCTGGCACAGCCTACCAGATCCCTCCCTGTGGTGGACAGGGTTGTGGGAGGGTGGGGGTGCACTTACAGGTCTTTCCAGACCTGGCCAGCCTGCCAGCCTGACTAACCAGCTCCTCCAGGCCCCAGGCGTTGGGGGTGGGGTGCAGCACGAAGCAGCCAGACCAGCCCCTGAGCCTCTGGGGTGAGGCTGGCCAAGACATGGGGCTTCCTCTGAGGCATCCTCGCCTGCAGCTGCTGCTGCTCCTGGTGCTGGGCTGGCTCCAGCCCGACGAGAGCCTGGGTGAGTGGTGGGGTCCAGAGATGGAAGCCCGTGGCCAGACCCAAAGGGCTGGGGCCTCTACTGGAGTGATCCATCCCGGGAGCCCACCCCCTCTAACCGGAAGAGGCAGCCGCGGGGAAGTGGGCTCCACTGCTCCCGTTGTCCCCACAGCCACAGAGCTGATCCCCTACACGCCACAGATAACAGCCTGGGATCTGCAAGGGAAGGTCACCGCCACCACGTTCTCTCTGGAGCAGCCACGCTGTGTCCTTGACGAGTATGTGGAAGCCACAGACACCATCTGGCTTGTGGTGGCCTTCAGCAATGGTGCGTGGACAGGGCAGGGTTTGGGGGAGGGCTGGGGAGAGCTGAGGGTCCCTGGAACCCTCCACTAGTACCTTCATTGTAGTGTCTGCTGGGGCTGTCTACATGGACGTGGATTGGGAGTTGGGCTTTACCCTGAGGGCCCTTAGGCGGACAAAGTCTGATTGGTGTCTGGACTGTCAGGGCCCTTGAGAAGAGGGTGGTGTGCAGAGTCTGGGCTGGAGGCTATGGCGAGTGGATGACAAGGCCTGTCTCTGCTCGCCCCATCTGTCTGCCTCTCCACCCTGCAGCCTCCAGGGCCTTTCAGAACCCGAAGACGCAGGCCGAGATCCCAGCATCCCCACAGCTGCTGACCGATGGCCACTATATGACGCTGCCCCTGTCCCTAGGCCAGCTGCCCTGTGAGGACCCTGTGGGTGGTAGCGGAAGTGTCCCCCTGCTGCGGGTTGGCAATGATGCTGGCTGTCACCAGCAACCCTACTGCAACGCCCCACTCCCTGGCCCTGGACCTTACAGGTGGGTCATCCCCTTGGGGCCCTGAGACTGGGGCTGTTCCTGGGGAGAATGGGGTCCTGGAACCAGGGCTCAGAGTACCCCCAGCCCAGCCCACTCTCCTAGCCCGCCCTTTCCTGGCTCAGGTCCCTGCACCCTGCTCTTTGCAAGCTTCCTCTGGAAGGCAGCTCTGCTCATCCCAGCTGGGGGCAGGCGGCAGGCAGATTTCCAGAGGCTGAGAGGCCGAGGTGGGCACTGGGGAGCTGGCATACTAGTCAAGGTGGGAGGGGCAGCTCCAGGCTCCCACCGCCCCTCCTGCAGACGTCGGGCAGGAAAGGCGGCCCCTACCCCTTACAGGCAGAGATGCTGAGGCACAGGGGGCCTGGGGCCCGTCAAGGTCAGGCTGGAGCCAGAATGAGAAAGCAGGTACCTCCTCCGTGTCTAGGGCAGGGCCACCCAGCCACAGGAGGGCCAGTGTCCTCAGGGAGAAATGGGCAATGGCTGGGAGCAGGGACGGGAAGGCGGGGTGTGGGGGCAAAGCAGCACCTCAGATCACAGGCCCCTCTCTGCCAGTTCACACAGACCCACTCACCAGCTCCACCTGCCCAGGACCACGCCCTGACTCAGCCTCTGGCCTCACCCCACTGTCCCCACCACAGTGCCAGCCTGCTGGATCCCTCACTGCCCAGACTTCTCAGCGCCCCCTCCAGCTTGACCTTTGGTGCCCTCAGGCTCGTCCTCCTGGTGACTCTGGACTGAGTGCCACTGCCCTGACCTCACCTTTACCCAGGGCACCCATCTCTACTCTGGGCCTTCACGCTCCTGAGGTCTCCTCTAGGAAGCCTGGGACCCCCCTCCTAGCCACCTTCACCTGCCCCCCTTATACATGGCCTTTGTAACCAGGCCCCCGGCCCAGCATGCCCGGGCCCAGATCAGTGTCCAGAGACAACTGCTCAGGCAGACGGGCTGCTGCTGCAGGTCACCTGGTCAGAGAGGTTGCCGGGGGCCTTAGCACAGCTGGGCCTGGTGAGAAGGGTCCAGAGCCTGGCACAGAATAATGTGGGGCCTGGCTACAGGGGGCACCCTGCCTGAGCAGTTGGCCTAGAAGACTGTGTCATCCTCCCCATGGCCTCCTGTCCCCAGTGTGAAGTTCCTCGTGATGGACACCAGTGGGTCACCCACGGCCGAGACCAAGTGGTCGGACCCCATCGCTCTTCACCAAGGTAGCGCTGGCACCCTGGCTCCTGTCCACACCCAGTGGACTCACCAGCTTCTCTGGGCCCACTTGACTCTCCCTGTAGAACAGTCGAGCTCAGTCGGCCTCTCCCCCGCTCCCCTGGGGTTGGGGACCTGGAGGCAGCATCCCCTAATAGGACCTGCCTCATGCTGGGGATGGGGTAGGGCACTGGGGCAGCCCCATCTGCAGGGCCACCAGCTCTGTCCATCCCTAAGTGTTTGCCAGCCCCTGGTTTCTCAGGCCCCGGCCCAGTCATGGGCAGAACCAGCCTCCCCTCCCCACAGGGAGCCAGCCCATGCCAGCACACCTGCTGGGTGGGAAGAGGGCATGAGGAGGCCATGGCATGAGCGTCGGGCCTGTCTGAGGGGCAGAGGGTTTCAGGAGGCTTCCAGAGCCTCTGAGCTGAGCGAGTGATGGATTGAGCATGTCACCAGACTGAGAAAATGGTGTGCAAAGGCAGAGTGTGACAGGGCAGGGTGGGCTGGGGGTCTCATCCAAAGCTGTGAATACCAGGCTCCAGGGAGCAGGGCAGTGACTTGGTCAGTCGTGAGTCTGCAGCCACCTCTGCCTGCCACTGTGGGCAGTGTTGGGCATATAGGTGGGAACAGCCTAGAAAAGATGCCCAGCATGGAGGCTGGGGCAAAGGGTGGGCCGGGCTGCCAGAGCACAGAGGCCCAGCAGGTGGGTGGGCTCAGGAGGCCGTCTGGGGACAAGAGGCAGCCGGGCTTTGTGGTGTGAGCATGGTGGGGAGGGAGAGAGGGGTGTGGAGGCAGCGCTGGGCAAGGGGCAGTCCCCAAGCAGCTGCTGTACGTGCAGGGGCGTCCCCAGGCTCCATCGACACATGGCCAGGGCGGCGAAGTGGTGACATGATCGTCATCACCTCCATCCTCTCCTCTCTGGCTGGCCTCCTGCTCCTGGCCTTCCTGGCAGCCTCCACCGTGCGCTTGTGAGTGTCCAGGCCCCTGCAGGCCCTTCTCCCACCCAAAACCCCTGCCCTTCCCCTGGCCGCAGTGCCCAGAAGCCCTACATTAACGCTGTGGTTTGAGGTTTTGAGCTGGACAGTGCCCTTCCAGGGAGCCTGTGGGAATTCCTCACCTCTGAGGCTAGGGAGCAGATCCAGCTGCTTCCCTGAGGACAAGTTCAGGAGAGGCTGCCTCCCTCTGGCCCTGTTCTTCAGTGTATCCTCTGCCAGACCTTGTCATGACCTCTTCACAAGCCCTCTGTTGTTTTAGTGAACTGAGGCCAGAGCAGTCAGGGTGGCCACCTGGAGGAGGTGGGCCTCCAGCTGGCTCTGAAAGGGAGGGAAGGTGAGATCAGCTGGGAGGGGGAGCAAGCCCTGACCTGGCAGCACACTCCACCTGGCAGGGACACAGCGCCTCCTCCTCCTCCCTTGTCCAGCTCCAGTCTGTGGTGGCCTGAAGAGACCCCTGAACAGCTGCGGATCGGCTCCTTCATGAGGAAGCGCTATATGACCCACCACATCCCCCCCAGTGAGGCCTCCACGTTGCCGGTGGGCTGTGAGCATGGGCTCGACCCCCTCCCGAGCCTGGGCCCCTAGCCCGGCTCAGGAGGCAGGCCCTGGGGCAATGGGGCAGGAA